TTTTATAACGTAAATAACCTAATTTCTTGGAGATATAACTGGGATGTTCTTATGAAAAAATTAATGTCTTTAACCGTATGTACAAATTTTGTGATAAATATATTCAAAACTACATAAAACTATTGCTGTACTATATTTAGGACAGTAGGCTAAACCCCTTATTGGTGGTTATAACAGATTAGCAGCAGCACATATAATTTTTGAAAACACTTAAGGTGATTACAATCAATCATATGTATTGGCTGACTTTATATTGGGGATCTTCTCTTTATGACGAAGAATACATTCTTCAACCTCGTGTTGATTCTGATGGTACTGCTGACCAAGAAGTAGAATGAGAGGATAATGATAATCTAAATACTTTGCAAAGAAACATAATTATTATACTCAATTCTCACCTTCAAGACTCCATCAAGGATATTGAAGACAGACCTTTTACAAATCGAGGATAAATGCTGAAGAAATTAAAAAATAATGAATATAAACATCTAGGATTGGCCTGAAGTTCATAAAACTTTTCATGACAAACGCCCCATTCCATAGTTTGCCGTACTACTGAGCAAAGGCCTCCTACTAGGACCTTCACACAGATCCTTCGCCACCCGCATCCATTGGCTTCCTAGACCCTTACTAGATCATTGGTTCATCTGGTCCATGGTCCCGAGTATGTGTTGCATAATTCAAAATTCCTCACTCATTATGAAGTAAAATTATAACAGTGTGTTTGTAAATAATAATAACGCACATATTATAATTGCTATAAATGCAAAAAAAACAGTCTTTAATTTTAACACTATTGGTTACTTATTATCCTACTGTCCTATATATAGGGCTATTTTCCTGAAAGTAGCGAAATCAATATTTTTTTCATAACTTTTTACATGATTTTTAATTCACATCCAACAAAAAAACTAAGTTAAATACAAAGATTTTCAGAAAAAAAAGGTTTAGGCTTATCTGGATTAAATAGAAAACCGGAAAATATAAGTTACAACGTAACAATATAATTAAATATATGTATATATATAAAGTATAAGTATTGTATATGTATATATATTATATGTGCCATAATTAGATTAACTAAAAAGTGCAATTTTAAAATAATGTTTGATAAGTAAGTAGTACTGCAAAGAACGAATACATTTCAGAATCACATAAGATTACTATTTATATATTACTGCCTTTGTAATGTCTAATTTACGAGCACTGGAAATATACTAAAATTTACAAAGGACAATGCTCACGTAGTATGGAAAATTAACCCAGGCTCGGCGCAAATGATATGTATCTCAAATTACTGGTAATAATCAGTAATTAATTACTACGTAGGTATCATCACCGAAATATATTTTTTCTTTGTGAAATTCCACTTACATCAAAGAAAAAGAAAACACAAAAGTTAGTTATATGCATTTATTATTGAAACATTATTCATTCTCTAAATCTGGGACTATATCATCCAATGTGTGTCCAGGATGATTGAAGTCATTTTGAAATCTGGCCCAACTCAAGTAATATAGTACATTCATCACATGAGCACAGATGCCCAATATCCTCTTTCCGTAAATACAGGTACAATAGTGTTCCAAAATAGCGTGTCTGCTATTTTCACTTTTATACAATATATATGTGTAGTAAACTCTTCTTCTAATGTGTCTAGATTGAATTCGGCATCTTATTAATGCTCCGTCTTCACCATTTAATACCAGAGGCACTGGATCTCTGTAAATCTCAATTTCATGAACACCAGTTCGATTTATGTGCTCACTGCAATAGGAACGTGCTATTTTGCAATGGTAAGTACCCACGGCAAACAATATTAGGTCCTCTTATGTTAGTCTGGGGAAGTCTTTAAACGTCTGGTCATTACCTTCCAAGCGTACAAAAAATGCTCGTTGGCGGTTTAAATTGTGCTCAACAACATACTCGGATAAAAGATTGGGCTTATCCATGTTTCTGTTTATGGTTTCCATAAACTGTTCTGTATATTGGCTATCTTCGTAGGGCTGTTGAAACGAGTTTATGAGAGCTGCAGCTATTCTGTAATCCGTCATTACGGTGGGTAAAGCTCTATTAAATACCCGGTATCTAAACATTTTAAAATCTCGCTTGAACCTTCCATTTATTGTTTCTACAACCCATCTACATAAGGCTTTGTATTGTATACAGCTACGAACGAAAAAGCGATTTGGATGTCATTTATGCTACAATGATATACATTATATCCTCACAAAACAAAAGAAAAAACCGGTCAAAAGCACATACACACTTGTTATTTTTCTCGCAATAACTACATAACGAAATGAAAGGTACGAAGTTATTTAAAACAATATTAACTCAGGCATTTTCTAATATGATAAATACTCTTAAACACCCTTTTCAATGATTAAATATATTTTTATTAAAAACTATTAATGTTACCCCTACAGAGTTTCGAATAGCAATTTCACACTTTTAGAAAAACATTTCGAAGATTCGAACTATGCAGTATTTAATATCTCATTTTTAGTAATAATTTGAGATACATTTGATTTCCGCCCGGCGTGGGTTTTTTTTGAGCATTGTTCTTTAACTGATTTATTTAATACGTCAATACTAGACCAATTCCAACACGAATCTGTGTAGGTTTACCTACTCACGAATCTAGGTTGATCCAGATCCATCGTCATTGAAATTTTAACTTTTGGCACTTTTGTTTTGCAACAAAAGAATAGTTTTTTTCTTTTTCAGGCGAGTCGATAAACTGACTCGGCGTAGACCTAACTGACGTCACAATAGCAGAATTCTGTCTTTTATTTATTTATTTGTATCTACGAGTTCTGATATGGAAACATGATCCCAAATACAATCAACCAATATTTTTATGGAAGAGTTAATGTTCTGTTTTATTTCTTTGAGAATAGGGATGATGACAAATTTTTTTCTTCTTCGTTTATCAGGTAGATTATCAAAAAGTTTTGGACACGTATTTTTTCTTTTTTCACATAATATAAACATTGCAGAGATATCGATTTGAAAAGTCGAATGACGTCACGTTTTGGTACAAATTTCACTTAAAAGTGACGTCACGAGCCCCTACTCCCAAACTTTGACGCGCTATAACTTTGTAATTATTTGGTTGATTGCCCAAAGAAAAAATACTGTCCATTATTTTTTGATCATCTAACTGACGGACTAAATAGAATTTAGTTTACTGTACCCCGTCATCACCCCTATTAGAATTTTGGTTTATTCCTAAAAAGATTAACTCTATAATGAAGAGTATATGTAACCACAATTTGTGCTTTAAAATAATGATGATAAACAGTGATAACATTTGTTTTAAAATATGATAGAAATGTTCTCTTTTATTGAATATATACTAAACTGTATACAGCTTACTCTCTCTCTCTTCCAACAATATATTTAACGTCCACCTACTTTTCACAGTTTACATATTGATTTATTATGCTAATGCCTTATCTGTAAGCTCATTTAGAAGTTAGATACGATACTGGAATGTCAATACAAGTCTACTCACATTTATACTCATCCATTACCAAACACCGATTAATGTGCGTTTCATATCCGATATGTTACAATCAGTATCATTAGTGTAATATAGGTACAGAGAACATCATCGAAAAATCAGATATGGTCAAAATCACTTTATTATATCCGATTCACATAGTACTTTATTTAGCATTCTTTTATTGCAACTCATTGCTTTGAAGGGTCATTTGAAAGATGTAAGGAAATGTTTACACAGGAATTGTATACAAGTCTTGACATGAAAAAATTGCCAATGTTTTCTGTTGTGTTTTTCACCAATACAACTATGTTTAGAAGATTTTTTCTGTAAGTTTTGACTTGTCTAAACACAAACTTGTACCATTTATTAGCACTTGCGTTCAAGTAATGAACGTGATATTGTGAAGAGGATTTTATTTATTTAAGTATTGAATGTTTTAAAACAGAACTGAAATTATTGTATATGCTGTTTACATCAAGATAAGTTTTGAAACAAAAATTGTCGAATAGATCAAGGATATTACATGTTTTTTAGACCATATAATTCATTGATAGCTTCAATTCAATTGTATGCAGCAAGCAAGAGGGTAGCATCATGTGAATGGCCCTAGTAATCTTAGACCTGTATCATAGAACATTTCACAGTAAGAAATCTAGTTTCAAAACTAGATTAAATTTTAGAACGTTTCTTGAAACATAAATATTTATCAAAACTCAGCTGAGTAATTGCTTATTTCAGAAGGAAATTTACGTCAAAATCTATGTTCAAGCAAAGATTTGATCCTAGTTTACTTAAGTATGGTCGACAGCATTCTTAAGAGGAGAATACGTGTTATAGTCCCAAACAAAGTTGGACAGCGAGTTTATGAAGTTTGACATATCGCTATGTTGTTTTATTTTCAAAGTGTAATTGAAAACATACTTAGCACATAGACAAGTTTGATCGGAGATCAAAACTATTTTTTATTCTAGTTTCAGCTGATTTGCTCTTAAAACGCGACCTGTATGCTGTACCAAATATGCTGAGCAATTAAGTAGCGATCTACATTTAAAATTAGCATTGTGTGATACGTTTAAATGCGGCTTGAGCCGCGTTCTATAATACGGGCGTTAGTGCGTTACAAACAAAATACGCGATCAATAAAGACAACGCGACGCCTTAGGTGCTGAGAATACAGTATCCTAATTATATTATGTATATTTCTATATCAACAATATGCCTTTTAACACAGACATTTTGATTAAAAATAAAAGAAGTCTACAATAAGATATTCCTCATAACAAAAAACTAACTGTGAAGCATTCTAATTTTTGCAAATAGCAGCAAAAATTACTTATCAGTATTTTTAGCAGTGTTAACATTTTACTATGAAAGGAAGATCACTTAACCCAGAAGATAAAACACAATAAGGGCCGTGAATGCCTATGACTTATTGAATTCACAGTCAACCGAGATATAAAAGAAGTAAACAAAGAACGCTTCATTGATCTCAATCCTCCCTACCTCTGCTGAGGCTGAATCTGCGATGGAATTTGAAACCTTTCTTCTTCTCCTGCTTCTCTTCCGATTTCCCCTCAATGAGGTTGTCGGCACTCTTCGCCACCTGCACGCTTTTCCGTCTGTTCTTCATCGACTTCACCAGCTTATAGAACTTGCCGCGCTTCTTCGTTGGGTCCAAAGTCAGGTCTGTCATATCTTCTTCCACTTCTACGCTGAATTCTGAGGATATGTCCCCTAAGTCTTCGACGCTGTGACTCTCTATTTCCCTAGGTCGAGGCACTTCTAGCTTAGACTTTGAAGTGTCGGCTTTCGGTTCTTCTGGTGGAGGCGGAGCGTCGGGGTCAACGCACTGTAAAATAATAATAACATTCCTTTAAAAAAAACGAAGAAACAAAAGTCCTATCGAATTAATAAAAAAAACATTTATAAAAATAATTTCGTGCAAAACCAGCTAATTATACTTTTGTTAAGTAGTTATGGATATGACAAACAATAAATTAATTTCTGTACTGCAATTTAAATATTTGTAAATAAAAAGGTTTACCCGAACCCAGCATAAAGTGATCTACACATTTTGCTATGTCTGAGCGTAACATCCCGGAATAATGAGTTCCGAAGCATTAAGAAGTTTTGAAAGAATCTACCCACCCCTACGACTCCGTATCTACTAAAGTAATTGGAATTTAGAGAAAAATGTACTTTTGATCTTAAGGAAACAAAGTGTTTTGTAAGTAGATAAATGTTATAATTTTTATTTTTTAGCCATGTAACTGCTTGATGTTTAAATCTAAAGAAAATATAACTAGAAAAAATTGCACGCGGACCAGGCAGCAGATGGGACCCGAACCCGCACCCTTCGCTATCCGGACGAATGCACTGAAGAAATAGCAATTATAGTTATAATAGAATAATGTAATTGGTCAGTGCATTCACCCGGGTTCGCGTCCCGTCTGTTGCCTGGTCCGCGAGGAATTTATTCTAGTTATATTTTCTTTAGATAAATTTTCTCTTTATTTAAAGATGAATCCCTATTTAATAACTTGAAAACGGCTTTTTATGTTTGATACCTTTTTCTAAGTGTTTTGTAATATTATGCTCAGTGCAATTTAAGAAAGCTTTATTTATAACTGTGACCGACAGCTAGCATTGTCTGTCGGGACCGCTTGTATTAAATAAAAAAGATTTGATTACCTATTAACCTTCTTCTAGCCAAACTTATCAAAAGTCAGACATTCTTTACAAAAAACCTGCTTTCGGAGAACTAAACTTATCAAATAAATTATTGGACGTACAGACATATACGTACGAGACCTTCTTTCCTCCAATAGATCTGGCACAAGCTTGCGAATTTTATGAGCTGTCTTTAATCAAATTCATCATCATCAGCCGATTAATGTTCCCACTGCTGGGGCACAGGCCTTCCCTATGGATGGAATAGGGAGATTGGGCCATGACCCACCACGCAGGCCTAGTGCGGATTGGTGGGTGCTAACGACTGCAGGTGCAGCCGGGACCAACGGCTTAACGTGCCTTCCGAAGCACGGAGGAGCTCAAGATAGTAAATTTTTGGTCACCCATCCAATGACCGACCACTGCGAAAGTTGCTTAACTTCAACGATCGGAGCCGAACGCGCTAACCACTTGCGCCATCGAGCTCCTCATAGAGGATAGGATAATCAAATTATCATAGAGTTAATACGAGTAAATTGCTAAATGTGGAAGTATATACTTATAAGGTGCTCAAATCAGCAAGAGTGGGACGGCATCAGGTCAGGATGACGCCAAGCATGTAGCTTGTCAGCTCGATGACATATTTTTTGAGTCGGAATGCGTGCTAAGACTCTTGCGGTCAAGATACTAGCTTAATGTAGAAATATTTAAGTTTAAGGTGCTCACATCAGCAAGAGAAATCATGTAGGATGCCACCTGGTCAGAGTGGCGCCAAGACCTGTAGCTCGTCAGCTCGATGGCAGTCTTAGTCGAAATACTTGCTAAATGAGTGTTACGGTCAAGGCTTCATCATCATCATCATCAGCCTATTAATGTCCCCACTGCTGGGGCACAGGCCTTCCCTATGGATGGAATAGGGAGATTGGGCCATGACCCACCACGCGGGCCCAGTGCGGATTGGCGGGTGCTAACGACTGCAGATGCAGCGGCTTAACGTGCCTTCCGAAGCACGGAAGAACTCGAGATAGATGTTTTGGTCACCCATCCAATGACCGGCCACTGCGAAAGTTGCTTAACTTCAAGCATCGCAGCCGAACGCGCTAACCACCTGCGCCATCGAGCTCCTCAGTCAGGTCAAGGCTTAATCCTACTAATATTATAAATGTGAAGGTTTGTACATTTGTTACTTATTCACGCAATAACGGCTGAACGGATTTAAATGAAATTGTATACACAGCCAGCTTATAACCAGGAAGAAGAAAGGTACCTTTTTATCCCGGAGAAGTGTGAGGTTCCTCAGGGATTTCCAAAAAAACTAATGTTAACACGGACTAAGTCGCTGGCGGCCGCTAGTGTAGACATTGTACAGTTGTTGTCGTGGGGTGGCAGTCCGTCGTGTTACCGATCTTCAAGAGTCGACAAGTTGTAACTAGCACGGAATGTACAAGTGCAGTTCAAGAATAAAGTCTCAATATGAAGACGTGCTTTAATAAGAGACTCCACAGAAATATTAAGGTTTAAAGTACTCACATCAGCTAGAGAGATCCTGTAGGATGGCACTTGGTCAGGATGGCGCCAGGGCTTGTGGTACGGGAGTTCGGTGAGAGCCTTCCAGCCGGGGTACTTGCGCGATGCCGCATGCAACTGCTGGACTAAACGGGGCGCCAGTTGAGCTGTGACCCTGAACAATAAACAGATATAAACATTACTCAAGTAGCTGAAATACTTGCGTTATGAAAATCGAAACAGCAATACTATATAAAAGAGAGAGAATCTCAAAGATTTCGCAACAAGATGATAACCAGCGCTTTGGTTTCTTTAAACGGATTGTTAAATTATAAAAATATTTATTTCTGATAATTCGAATTAGTGGAAAACGTGGTGTCAGATAAGCATTGAGCTTAAAAACTTTTAACTTTTAAATGAGGATTTCTAAGTAAAAGGGGGGCGAAAGCAAGCACATAGCCCGACTGGTTGTAAGCAGCCACCACCTTACTGAGCAGTGTATCTTAAACGGTTTCAGTCAATAGCCAATTTCAGAATATAATAAAATTATCAAATAAATTAACTGGTAAATAAAACAAATCAGCGAAGAACAGTCATTCGATGGAGAACTTTATTTTGTTGACAATATTTTGGACTTTTAATTTCGGTTTTTAGCTAAAAATTCACATTCCTTAGTTTTCTTCAACTCGCAATTCAACACTTGTGTTGAGTCTGTCATTTACCTATCAAATTACCGAAATAGTTGGTTTCCCTTTAGATTACACCATTCAATTTATGTTGAACAATGAAGCGTAATTGAGACTTAGTAAGTATTTCGTCTAACATCTGCTGAACACGCAATATTGGGTGTTCATCTAATTGGGTTTACCTATAACTAAGATAATTTTCACGGCTTATAAACTAATACATATTCGACATTACAATATTATATAACAACTAGCTGTCCCAGCGAACTTCGTACCTCCATAAAAAAGCAGGTGTTGGTGGTAGAAGGGTGAAAATTTAGGGTTGTATGTATTTTTGTATAATATATCATAAAAATTTTGTCCAAAAAAAATTAAATTTAGGGGAATGAAAAATAGATGTTGTCCGATTCTCAGACCTACTGAATATGCATATAAAATTACACGAAAATCGGTCGAGCCGTTTCGGAGTAGTTCAATTACGCACACCGTGACACGAGAATTTTATATATTAGATATCACGTTTTACACCCGAATGTAGAAAGGTGTAGTTTTTAGAAATTCGCACGAAGACATTTTTCCCAAATAATTATTATGTGTGTGTGTGATGTTGAACCTTCTCCACCACAGTGTTTCCTGAGTGCTATAGCATGGTCCTCTTCAAACGAAGCCTAAAAAATAAAAAGCGGCCCAGAACGAGTTGGACTACTCGTCGCCCAATTTTCGGTGGAAGTTAGTAATGTACATCATCACATATGGAGGGGGGGGGACACAAATTTTACCACTTTGGAAGTGACTCTCGCGCAAACTATTCAGTTAAGAATAAAATGATATAAGAAACCTCAATATCGTTTTTAAAGACCTATCCGTAGATACCCCACACGTATGTTTACGAAAAAAATTTTTTGAAATTCATTTCTAAGTATGGGGAAATCCCAAAATTTATTGTTTTTTTTTCTATGTTTGTGTCAAAATCTTAATGCGGTTCACAGAATACATCTACTTACCAAGTTTCAACAGTATAATACTTATAGTTTCGGAAAAAAGTAGCTGTGACATACAGACGGACAGACAGACATGACGGATCCATGAGGGTTACGTTTTTTGCTATTTGGCTACGGAAACCCTAAAAAAGTGTTCCACAAAAGGCTGCTGCCTGTATCACTAGCATCGCACCCTTAGTACGAGTTTTACAATTACGAAAACTATGATAGTTTTCGTGAGCTCGCACTCGTACTTAGGGTACTGATTTTATTGTTTTCGTGTCAATACAAATAAACAGTGTTTAAATTCTATCATTAAATCATTTGCGTCTTCTTAAATTTTAAGTATCATCATCATCATCATCAGCCTATTAATGTCCCCACTGCTGGGGCACAGGCCCTCCCTATGGATGGAATAGGGAGATTGGGCCATGACCCACCACGCGGGCCCAGTGCAGATTGGTGGGTGCTAACGACTGCATATGCAGCCGTGACCAACGGCTTAACGTGCCTTCCGAAGCACGGAGGAACTCGGGATAGTAAATTTTTGGTCACCCATCCAATGGCCGACCACTGCGAAAGTTGCTTAACTTCAACGATCGCAGCGGAAAGTGCTATCCACCTGCGCCATCGAGTATATCGAATTTTAAGTATATTTGGTTACTCTTCACCAAAATGGACATAGAAACATAATTTACAAATACGAAAACTATGGTAGTATTCGTGAGCTCGAACTCGTACTAAGGGTACTGATGTCCATGGGTATTTTTTCTAGTACTAAGGGTACTGATGTCCATGGGTATTTTTTCCATACAAACGTTTTCGACTAATTCCTCCTTGGTTTGTATTACTACAGAAATGTTTTTCATCTATAAAATATAATTTTACTCATTGTATGCTCCTATGTAAAAAAGTTATGTAAGAAAGCAGAAGCCCTCAAAAATATAAAAAAAAAATACCACCACTAAAGACGTATAGTGTGGAGATTCAATAAGCATTGACAAAAGTAGTCATGCTCTCTTAAAAGTCTCTTCGGTGGTGTCGTGTGAGGCGGGTCGTTACGTTCCCTAAAATATGGTTGAGCGAAGCGATGGCTGGTTCATGCGTCATACTCGTGAACGGGTGCTGCCAGCGGAGATGAGTCTGCCCTAACTACTTACGATATTTAAGATGTAAATAAATAAATAAATATTTTCAACACTCACACCAATTAGCCTAGCCCCAAAGTAAGCACTGTGAAGCTTGTGTTATGGGATGCTAGGGTAACAAATAGAATACATATACTGTACATATATAAGTATATTTATATAGAAATACATATTAAACATCCATGACTGGAGTACAAATGCTCGTATTCATCACACAAACATCTGCCCCACCGGGTTTCGAACCCGGGACCTCTCGAGTCGGCGACACCATGAAACCCGGCGTACAAACCACTCGGCCACGGAGGTCGTCAAATGTTTAATTACACCTATTATAAATAACTCTGATTGTATTTATACTGTGTGACACAGCAACCAAAATGCAGGTGAACAATTAATGTATAATTTCACATTATGTAATGAAAGGTGACTTCGTGAATCATCTCTGAAGTCATTTTTCAACTTGACAACTCTGTAAATGATAAAACAGGGAGAAAAAAACAGCCCTTGCTGAGTTTCTTGCCGGTTCTTCTCAGTACAAGGTCTCCCGCCGTAGATTTACGAACCGATGGCGTAGCTTCTAGACTAATTAAATGATTTTGATTGATTGATTGAAAAAAGAGCAAAACATGGAGGGTTAGTATAACTACTCATTATTCTTTGGGTAAAATTTCTTTTACATAATTATAACAAGATTATAACTAACTAGCGGTCCGCCATCGCTTCGCTTCGGTATAGAGCTGAAGTGTAGACTACAGTTTTTGTTTTCAGGCTTGTATTATACACAAAGACATTCAGTTATGATTCTTCTTATACCTGCATGCAAAGACTTAGCCCGATCGGTTTAAAATTGACAAGTTTCATACAAACTTTCATACCCTATTTTATCCCCTTGGGGGTAGAATTGATCAAAATCCTTTCTTAGCGGATGCCTACATCATGACATCTACCTGCATGCCAAACAGCCCGATCCGTCCAGTGGACTGTGCGTTGATAGATCACTATGTCAGTCAGTCAGTCGCCTTTGAGTTTATATACGAGTATATAAATTTTAATAAGATATCGTCAAGAGCCAAACCTCGAATGAAGCAATATTTTATACGCAATTTCCAGCGTTAGCTACTGTTATCATTTGAATATTATAATAATAATATTATTATCATATGTAATTTTCTAGTAATATTTTCTTTACATTTAAACATCGAGCAGTTACATGCTTAAAAATTATAACTATAATTGCTATTTCTTCTTTGAAATGTTTAATATTTGAAAAGGTATTCATATGACATTGTGGGTTATCTACAATGCGAAGAGATGGCGCTGCCTTGCAGCTTAAAAAAGGCCAGAAAGAATTCGACACGCTTATCAGGGACCCGATAGCATAATGGTAAGTGCATTCGCTCGGATTGCGAAGGGTGCGGGTTCGAGTCCCGTCCGCTGCCTGGTCCGCGTGGATTTTTTTCTAGTAAACTTTTCTATAGATTTAAAAATGTAGCAGTTAAATGCTTAAAAATAAATAAAAACATGAATATTTATAATTTTTATTTTAATTTTGCTACCACGGCCCTATTCGCCGCGTCGAAATTTTCTTAGCCGTAAGCTGCAAGGCAGCGCCATCTCTTCGCATTGTAGGTAACCCACAATGTCAAATGAATACTTTTTCAAGTATTAAACATTTGAAAGAAGGAATAGCAATTAGAGTTATGTTTTTATTTATTTTTCAGCATTTAACTGCTAGATGTTTAAATCTAAAGAAAAGATCTTCAAGAAAAAAATCCACGCGGACCAGGCAGCGGACGGGACTCGAACCCGCACCCTTCGCAATCCAATTATAAATATTCATTATTTATTTATTTAATTACTCATCAGCTGAAACACAACACACCAAAAAAAATAAACTTATTGAGCTGTTCTGTTTGTATGTATAAAGTTTCCTAGTTACCATAATTTAACTTGGGAATATAGAAGGAAACTTGCAAACGATAGCCTCCCATAAAGCTACATCACTCGCTTACAAACGCCTAAACGAGTTTTATAAACACAGCGTGCTTTCAAGTTCTTTCTTGCGCAAAAGTTAGTAGTAAATACTTGCGTTATGAAAATCGAAACAGCGATACTATATAAAAGAGAGAATCTCAAAGATTTCGCAACCAGATGATAACTAGCGCTTTGGTTTCTTTAAAAGCTTTGTTAAATTATAAAAATATTTTATTTCTGATAATTCGAATTAGTGGTAATCGTTGTGTCAGATTAGCATTAAGCTTAACTTTTAACTTATGGAGCTCGATGGCGCAAGTGGTTAGCGCGTTCGGCTGCGATCGTTGAACTTAAGCAACTTTAGCAATGGTCGGTCATTGGATGGGTGACCAAAATTACTATCTCGAGCTCCTCCGTGCTTCGGAAGGCACGTTAAATGAGGATTTCTAAGTAAAAGAGGCAATAGCAAGCACATAGCCCGACTGGTTGTAAGCAGCCACCACCTTACTGAGCGGTGAAACTGTTTCAGTCAATGGCCACTTTGAGAATACAACAAAATGATGAAGGAAACTTACAAACGATAGCCTCCCATAAAGCTACATCACTCGCTTACAAACGCCTAAACTAGTGTTATAAACACAGTGTGCTTTCAAGTTCTTTCTTGCGCAAAAGTGAGTAGTATCTACTTACAATTTGGTTCAAAGTTTTTTTCAGGTCGGGCCAAGAGCTCTGTTTTACCCCAAAATGCATAAGCAGTAAATTAAAAGGCTCAATCTGGTGACTAAGGCCAGTATTATAGAACGATTCTCAGCGATTGATCTAGTCTTGAGCATAGTTAGAAAGGGATGTCGCTATATATAGCACATAGCGACATCCCTTTCTAACTGTACTCAAGTAAAGATCAACATTTAGTTGTCATTCTGTAATACGGGCTTAAATCTTTAAATACTGTAAAATACGAGTAGCAGAAGAACGATTATGTTTCGGGTTCCGTACCCTTAAAAAGAAAAAACGGAACCATTTTAAGACCACTATGTTGTTCATCTGTCTATTTGTCTGTCTGCCTATGTGTCAAACTAAAGACGCTTGATCTCGGGAATTCGTTGAAGTATGGAGTAGAAATTTAAACCATATAGGTACTTATATCTACGATCCATTGAAGCTGTGCAAAATTAAAATTTCTAAGTTGACGTAAAAAAAAATCTCGATCCTTTAAGTCTGGAACGCGTGGAGGCTATTTTCCCTATCTCTCAACCCAAGACTAACTAAAAAACTACTAAATCTTAACCGAATTGATCTCTGAGTAATGCTGGGCACTATAACAGGGCATTGCCTGCTAAATGAGCATTTACTAACCATACGTGTTACAGATAGTTCTCTGTGCAGAGGATGTCTGAAAGCAGATAAAACTGCCGCTCATGTAATCCTGGAATGCATGAGTGTGGCAGAACACAGGGCATCAATCCCCGGGACGCCAAAGCGCTCCTAGAAGCCTGTGAGAGTCCCAGGAGACTACTGCGCTTCTGGGAGGAGCTGGGCTGGCTGTGATAGTTATTCCAATCAACCCTGCACGCGCAATGGACCGACTATGGAGTCTACGTGCTACGGGGGCCCACAACAAGTAACATAATTATGTATACTCAAGTCGGTCTTTTGAAGCTGTGAAAAAATCACACTATTAGTAAACGTAAAATAAGATACGGCTGTTTAAATTACCTTGTGTTTAGCACGGAAAGTGGGAATTTCTAATACAAGTACATATATATTTACTTAAAAGGAATTCCCAATCGCAATACAGAATAGCGATTTAATGTTTCAAATAAAGAATTTGTATTTTGATTGTATCTATTATTTGTACGGAACCCTCGGTGGGCGAGTCCGTCTCGCACTTGTCCGGTTTTTGTCTGATTGCACGTTTCGCTAATGTTGTTAATTGTTTAACAAGGAGACAGCCCACAGTACAATCTACAATCAAATAACAATTTAACATCTGTCTTTTTATTATAATTATTTGAAGAGGATATTCTTGCCGGTTCGGCTCATATAATTTATTGGAAAATTGTATATACAAACCCAAGTATGAAAAGATAAGAATATTTTAGCTCGTAGTGACTAGCACGTTCGGTCTGCGATCTTGGCAGTTATGCCAACAAACTACTTAAAGCAGTCAATAAATGATATTATATCGATTACTTTAAAAGTAAATTAAGACAAACCTATACATATGTGTAAAATATCACACTTGTTTTATCTGGATTATCGGATGCTTTTTGACGATAATGTGCCTGACTGCTATTGCATCATTATTATGAGCAGATCAGCAGTGTGTAACTTCGCATCGTAGCCATTGTAATTCTAATACAGAATGTACTAAAACAAATATCGCAATAACGCATCCGAAATTATCAACCGATAATAACGCGCCTATGGGGGGAAGACTTTACTTACAGACAAGTTTTATACATCAGCACGTCGCAATAATATGAAGAATGGTATATGGTAGTGGCAGGGCACTGGAAACATAAGTTAGTACTGACTTGTTGACCAGCCACGCTGGCAGCGCCCCCCGCGGGTCGGAGCGCGACACGTAGCCTAGCCAGCTGCCCCCTTGCGGCCGCGATCGCACCACGAAGCCAGTCAGCAGCGACAGCGCCCTGGAAACATGAGTACACCTAACTTAATAAACATATCTGACCCCGTACCATGAGCACCACCACATAATACAGAAAGATGTATTTCTGTGAAAGAGGTCTTCTCAAACCCAAATCCTTATTTTATAAAAATCTATAATAAGTTGCCACACTTGATAACGGAGCTTACTTTGCCTTTATTTAAAAGGAAGCTTAAAATTTTTTGACTCAGTTAGAGAATGTTTATAAACGAAAATTGATTTAGAATAGAATAAGTAAAATGACATAAGTACCTATAAATTTAAGAATTAAATTAAGTTTGATATTCTCATGCCCTGTCGTTGGCAAAATGAACGAATTAAATGTAAATCACCACCAAAATGTATCTACTCTGTTTTGTGTGAATAAATAAATTTCATTTCAAACCTTTCCGTGTTCTGTGAGCACCATGATACACATTATATCACGTTTTTTTTATGGAGTGCAACTGTGAAACTCCATAATAATTTGACAATTTAGCGTGATAAAAACGAACGAATTTGTCATTTTTTACGGTGCTCATGCATTTTTTTTTAAATTTGAATCAGTAGTTTCTGATATATTAGCGCGTTCAACCGAACAATCAAACAAACAAACTCTTCAGCTCTGTAATATTAGTATAGATGAATAGCGAAGTGATGTGCGGGCATTATAAATAAACCACTGAACTACAAAGAACGACTAAATCCTAAATAAATTTAGTCCCACGAGGTGGTTGACATGTATTCCTGTCGCGTCAACTCTTTTAGCATTTGGATTCACATAAAATACCTACAATCGTTTAAACAACTTAACATTCCACGTTCCCATTCGTTGAGCACAAAACGATATACAGTAACAACAGCAACGAGTTTACCAAGCCACTGCGAGGCCCAGATTAAGTAAACATTTTTTTTTCAGTTGAGTTTTTCAATAAATTATTTATTGTGAACCAAGTAGATTCCCTTAGTATTGAACAAACACATATAAATATAAACGGAAACAAGAATTATCTGAAATTAAATCTTAGAGTTAACGAACGGAACCGAAAAGATGTTTACTAGTGTTTACTAGTAGGAATTAGAAAGATTTTTTTTTCCGAAGTCTCTATTGTGGGGGCCCCCTGTTTGTGGAGGCCCCGGGGCTTTCGCCCCGGTTGCCCTCCCTTAAATCCGGCAGTGGCGAGGCCTCAGGCTCAGCCCCATAGGCGCGTTTTATCGGCGTTTTGGCGTTATTGTGCCTATTCTATTGCGTCCAGAAGTGTGTAACTTCACTTCGCAGCCAGTCTAATTCTAATACAGAATGTACTAAAAATAAATATCGCAATAACGCATCCGAAATTATCAACCGATAATAACGCGCCTATGGGGTGAGGCTTTACTTCCAGACAAGTTTTATACATCATCACGTCTCAATAATATGATCGAAATGGGAAGAATGGTATCGAATGTCAAACGTTTTAATATTAAACGGCTTCATTGAGTTGGGGGCGTAGCTGAGTGGTGACGTCACGTCTCCGTCATCAATCTTTCATAGTTCATAGCTCGGGGACGCGTGACGTGAGCGGTGGAGCGAATGGCTTACTAACCGCCACGTCGCGACGCGAGGCTGCCTTCTATCTAAATCTCAAGGAAATGATGTAACTTGATTTATATGTATGAGTTCTTTTTCAGGAGAGAGCAGAGAATCCATTATAATAGTATAAGATTTATAAGTGTTCCTGTCTGTCTGCTACCTCATCTAGCTTAAAATTTTGAAAGGACAATGGGCAAAACGCACCCAGCTCCGCCAACAATGTAATTAGTATGAATCGATAGATCTATGAAAAACTAGCCTTTTTTATTATGACACCGAAAATAAATATCCTGGGAGTCAAAAGATATGACACTGTAAAAAATATCCTGGTGCTCAATAGATATGACACATGGGCATATTTAAGTAGCTAAATAAATTCATTTTATAGTACCTTCATTTTATATGATTAGTAATCATAATAATATGCTATATCGTACTATACAACCACATATACGACAAAGCCTGCCGACCATCCTGCACTTGCTCTTACTGAGACATTTCAAAACGGTTTACGGATGATGAAGGACTTGCAGTTGCAAATAGTCGACTCGTCTTACTTCTGCTACTGCTAGTTGATTGATTTTTATCTAACACGCTTGGGATATTGAAACACGATTATCGGTTTTGTCAATTAGTATGGATGAACAAGAATCATGTGTTCTCCGAAGCGTGGATAAGTTTGTGTAATCTGTGGTCGCTCCGTTTTACATAGAAAACAATTTACTATAACGAACAGAATGTTTAAAAAAAACCCAACCCATACGGGGATGTTTCGATTTACTCTAGCGCGGCAGAATAACATAAGATGACACCCTTGCACCTTGTGAAGTACTCCCATAATTTCTGAGCACCCTATGTAGAGTCGAACTAACTAACTAAATTAATTCCCTTGTTTCATTAATGTTCGTTAGTTATAGTACTTGTACACATTTAACTTAAAATAACTAAAGACCCCCGGGATGGAATTTGATGCGCTTTGGCACAGATGATCTTGACTATAATACCTTTCAAACAAATGTAGTTTAAGCCGTGGCGGACGTGGGTGCAGCGTCCATACATTTTTGCCCAATGTCCTTTATGCAGATTGCGGTAAGTTTTTCGTTCATACCTCTTTCTAAAAAAATCCTAGCATAAGAATCTGTCCTATCTCATTTTAGCTACAGAATGAAGTTAAATTATCTCTTTTCCCCCTTTTTCTTAAACTATGTATTTTCAATCAACGGCTAACGGACTCCACAAAATTAATGGCTACAACTACAATTGTAAATTAGAACACACTTAATTTCAAAAAAACCAACCAAATGAACGAGAGGTCTCTAATTAGTGTAAATTTTTAGCTGGATAGCTTTTTGTAGTTAATTTGTAAATATTTTATGTATCTTTTATTTGAAACAATGAAAGTCTTCCCATGCTTTAGTATATTGACACTTTACGTGATTTTATACGTTGACCTTCATGATGAAATTTACACGCTGCGTTAGCATTAAGTAGATGCTTAATTGGTTTTGTTAAGTAAAGTGTGGTCCAATTTACAATGGTAGTAGTAGCCATTGATTTTGTGTGTACATCGAAGTTTTGTTGTTATTGAATCTCCATGATGCGGGTCGGAGCGGAGCCATCCCAGAGGTGCTTCTAAACAATATTCTACGCACGCACTTGTTATTAAAGGGAATGACGCCCACTTTAAGGTCTTCAAGTCACAATCGAATTATAAAGGCCATTTCCAAGTATCACGGATCACCTTTTGTTGTATCATTTTTATACAACTTTATGCCAACTTGAAAAGGTCAACTTGTCTCAAATGACTATTTTTAAGTAAGTATGGAAGCAAGCATTAGGCCAGTTTGATGGCAATCGGCCGCCAATGCTCATAAACGCTTGCAATATTAGAAAGTATTCAATATCTATCTATTCCCTAACTACATAGTGGAGGCCTGACAACTTTGCTCAGAATATATGATAAGATACACACGCGCACACACACTTACTCACATACACATAACAAACTCCTTTGGCTATTCCATTGAATTTATAACTCGAAAACAGTTATCTGGATTAATGAATTGTTTTCTAAATAGTACACAACATTATGAATAGGGTGGAGGGTTGATCACCTGATACCTGTGTATGTGTATTATTGTGTATTATTCTGATTCATCCTAGTTCAGTTGTCAACCCACCATAATCTGATCAATACGTGCTTTTTTTTGGTAACAAATAGCATATTTTATATAGCATTGAATGATGCATTAATGCCTGCATTGTGAACATTGAGAAATTTGATTGATTGTAGTGAGAAATAAAGGTTATTATTATTATTATGTTATTTGACTGCACTAGATATCTGTCGATAGTGACCTTTCCTTTCGGGTAACTTTGCGGTAACCCACAATGAGATAAGAGACTGTAATATTTTATGCTCTTGATTCTTATTACTTTTGTTTTTTCTTTGCACCATCAAAGTATAAACAGAACTATCACCACAGCAACGTATTTTTTTAATATTCGAATTAATTTCTGCATTTTTTGAATTCATTCATTTTTGTATGGGGGTACTTACATATTTAAAATTACTCGTTCATTCTACAGAAATTTAATGAATTACATGGTTTGTACATAATCAATAAAGGCACATCTAATGGTAACAACCACAGCCAAAAAAAAACAACAGACCGAATGTTTAATTTAAGCGCAAACGTTGGAATAGATAAGCAGAGACAATTACCGAATAATTGGTTCCATTCTGCTCGGCTCGTATCGATTTTTCCAAATAAAATGGCGACACTTCGTACCTACCTACCTACCCGTACACCTGAAATGTCGGAACACCACTCGGGAATGATTCGGGCACGTATTGCCAATCAGCAGTTTGCTACGGATGGTGTATTGGTGTCAGCATTCCCTCCACGCCGCACGACGGACGGAGCGGACTCGATATAAATTGTTGCTGTGACGAAATAAATAAGCCATTCCGAGAATAAAATAGTGATGAATATTGTTATTCGAAAAAAGAATTGAATAGATTCGCGGTGGGGTCTGCGTTCGTAGAAGTAAAACAATTTCGCAATGACCCGTCTTAGGATAGGTGACTGAATATATCTCAACATCCATTGCACGAAAAACACATTAAGGGTAAGAAGAATTTTCGTATTCGAAATTCTTCCCTCCATTTAAGAGCGGACTCGGGCAGAGATGTTTTATCATAGGTGTTGTAGGCTCGCCATGTGATATATTTGGATGTAGACGCATGATGGAGGAAGCTCCCCTTGGTCGAGGGTTTGGTGGCGAGGAATGAGTCCCGTCCGCTGCCTGCTCCGCGTGGATTTTTTTTCTAGTAAACTTTTCTTTAGATTTAAACATCTAGCAGTTAAATGCTTAAAAAATAAATAAAATCATAATGAGAGAGATGTTTTATGGACACATGTTTATTG